CGACGCCGACGCCAGCCGGGTCGAGTCGGGAGAGAAGGTTACCGATAAGACAGAATTGCTATGGCCCTCAAGTGTCTGGAGGCAAGCACTCCAACCCTCTTCTATTGTCGGCTTGATAGTGATCCATTCCGGCTCTTCATGCTGGAAATTCCTTCTAACCAAGCTGCTTGCTGGGCTGAATAGTAGTGCAGATACGTATGCCTGAAGAGGGCTACTCTCGACTGCCCCCTTGTGATACATAACAAACCGATTCGCATCGTGAACAAGATTAGTGAACGGGGATAACTCTCCTCTCTCCTAGTTTATATCAGCATAGAACCATCTAGTTATGTTGCTTGTTTTATACATGCCTTGACCAGCGACCATAGTTGCGCCATTGAGACCACGCCTTTCGGCATACTCCCGCACAAACTAAGAGCTTCTAACCAGTAGAGGTACTTCTCTCTCAGGAACACGTCAACAATGTCACCATTCTGCAAACTTACTGCATAGTTTGCGGACGAGTTAGGTCTCGAGTCATATAGATGATTGACCCAGTAGACACAAGAGTAGCGCGAAACAGCTAACGGATCTGGGTCGGGCTGTTCAACCTCCTCAGCAGGATAACCTAACGCCCCTAAGCCGTATATATCCCGTCGTAGAGTTTTGGAGAGAAGTTTGAGAGACCTTAAGAAGACCCTCCAATGAGCCTCTGTGCTTCCACATGGAAAGACCTCATCAAACGCCTCTGCGAACAGAAAGTCCTTTGCCGACTGATGCACGAAGTACACGGTGTCTTCTCGCAGAGTAAGGAACGAACCACAAAAGCTAATGATCTCCCGCACCGACTCCAGGTCATCAGTTATATCTTCAACCTCCTCGACTAGCGAGGCCAGCTCATGTATCGTGACGGGCCGATACACAATCGCGGTCAAGGCTAGTACCTGCTTGCAGAGATGCGAATCGTCTGACGTGCTTATCTGCTCCATCATCCGCTTGTACAGAGAGATAAGTCCATGCGGGAATGCTTGCAGCTTCTTCAAAATGTTCCAGCGCGAGACCTGCTGAAGGTTTTGACAGACGAGTGCTACCCAGAGGAAGGTATCGTTCGCGTTCGACGCTAGGTAGTTCAGGACGGTATCTCTGGTCTGCTCGTCGTACTTTTTCCCCTCCGCCAACTGGGACACCTTCCACTCGATGAAGAGGCTGACAGCTGCGGAGACTGATTCTGCATTGAGCTCGAGGCTAAGCCTTGCCTTGTGGCTTGCTCGCTCTAGCTGTTCCTCGATGCCCGGCCCGTTGCGACTGGATACTATCCATTTAACGCGAGAGGATACAGCGGAATTCTGGACGACAAAGTCCAGAAGCTTTGGCAAGTCGATTAGGCATTCGTCGAGCGCGTCGATGACTAGATATGTGCTGTCCAGATCCGGGTCGTGCAGAATGGCCCCGAAGATTTCAGATAAGGCAAACCAGGCATTCGCATCCTCAAATAGAGCTTTGCTTGCGTCGTCGTGCTTCTTCCGGACGTGCGAAACGAGTGACGGCTGCTGTTTGATAAGCAAGTACAGCAGGCCTCGCAGCACGGCTGTGGCGCTGTTGATGCGCGAGTCCGTGGCCTGACAGAAGTAGAAGGAGAGCAGATTGGCCTTGGCCTTCGACTTCTGCAGCTCGTCGACAATGCCGCAGAGGAGCATCGTTTTGCCTTTTCCAGGATCGCCCTTGATCCATAGCAATTGGCTCTGCGAACCGTGGCGCCATTGTTGGAAGCTAGCGTTGTTAAGAACCCAGCGGTAGGAGTCCTTCAACAGGCCGCCCTTAGTGTCCTCGATACGTTTCTTGTCATCCTGAGGATCAGTAAGGTATAGGTCTTGGATACATCTGTCCAGCTTCTCAATCTCGTCATGAAGCCGTTTGAACGCTCTGCCAATCCCTTCACCGTACATAGGAGAGATATAGACACCAAAAATACCGAGCAATGAGTACGCTCTATCTTCTTCGTGCTTAGTCTGACGGTGTTCGTTCCACGATAATCGATCATTGACGCTGAACTTGGCTAAAGGCGCACCTCTAAGCGCTGAGTATGGTATGCCTGTAGCTTCGTGGATATGCTGCATCAGTGATGCTTTGTCCCCAAGTTTCTGCCACTCTTGAGAGAAGAACTCAACCAAAGCAGGTGCCAGAAGCTCTTGGAGCGTCCAGCCCCGGGTGAACCATCTGCTTTTCTGGAAGCTCAACTCTTTAATATCAGAGCCATAGACATCTGACAGGTAAACGTAGCATCGAGTGGCATCGCGGTACCAGCGGAACATTGAGTTGATAGCCTGCGAGAGCTCAACTTTATTCGCCTTGTTGATGCAACAGGTGTCGACCCAGAAGTGTTGCAAACCATCCTGTCTTGCCTGCTCTGCACAAAGCTGAATCTTCCGGTAGCCTGCCTTATCCTTGCCTGTACCATAGGTCAGGTCTTCGAAGGTCACCTCTTCGGCATCCGTGCCCCATGTGTGGGAAAGTACCGCATAGTGCGGGATTGTATCTTCTCTTCGGTACATAGTGAGACTAAGGTCACCATTGCTGTTGCATCGCAAGAGGCGCATTATTTTGCGTAGAGCTGGAATGGCGTGTACGGTAGGATAAGGGACGGGCAGGCTGAAGGTGGCAGCCTAGGGCGACACGAGTAGCAACTCGATTATCTGCTTAAAACGTTCGCTTGAGGTAGCAAAGCCAGCGAGCACCTGTGAAAACAAGATTTAGACCACGTTAGAAAGTCGAATGTGAACCGTTAGCATAGCTATACGATATCGTGGGTGTGTAAAGGTGGTAGTACGGACCTCGTGCGGGGTAAGGCGCGGCTGTCTACAGCGTCAACCACTGCTTAATCATCACCACAAGTCTTGTAACACCTTTTTCTTGTACAACATGCTACTAATTACTCCCACTCCAGCACGATTAAGGCGCTTTAATCAAGTGGTCCTACTAAGATCGCGACGCCTGATAATGTATATAGTTAAAGTCTGATCTATAGTTCCACTGAGCAATAGTTGCAATCCACTCTTTTCGTGATCACCTGATCGTGCAGCTATTCAGCAGCCTTATATTTGTGATTAATAACGGCTCCTTTCACACGCTCTATATTCCGCCCGAGTATTCTCTCTCGCAACTATAAGCTTGCGAAATAGATGGAGTTAAAGAAAAAAAAAAAAAAAAAAAAAAA